GAAGGCCAATTGCTGGGGCTGGTGATGGAAGTAAGAGAAAGTGAAGTGGATTTAACAATTTGATGAGTCTCTGACCCCCAAAAATGGTTTTATAAATTACTCTAATCCTTTGTTTATAGATTCATTTATTTATAGACTCATCAAGAGTCTAAAGAGTTCCCCTTCTTTTTTCATTTCTACTTTAGTTTTATTGGGAATATGATATACAAAGGCTATTCACAAATCTAAGGATTCCCGAAATTCTCGGAATGTGTCCCTCCCAAAGCAGTCAAGATCTGCGGTTCACTTAATGTATGAGATGCACGTGGCATCAGGGCCTTCCTCAAGCAGTGAAGTAGGACTTGGCACAACACATTTTAAGGCTGATATGTGTGTATGTGTATCATTTATATTTCTCAACCCATAGAAAGGTTTGGTATATTAATTTTTGTTCTGTCAAGTGATCAAAAATTATACTTTTCATTAATAATCTATAAATACTGTTTTCTATTTTATCACCCTTCAGATGTTTATCTTCTCATCAAAGAACAAAAAAAAACATAGAGAAGCATGAGGCTTTTCCTCAGGATTTTTTTTCCTCCTGGTTTCTCTCTTGCTGCTTTCATACATCTCCCTGTGGCCTAAGCCTTTTCACTTGCTATTGTCTTAGTTCTCTACGATTTGTCATTTGAAAATTAATGAAGACACCAGTATCAGAACATGTCCAACAGAAAGAATTAGCAAGTCTATTTTACAGAGTACCTAAAGATTATTTATTCATTCATTCAATATATACTAATTGACCACCTACTAATGCCAAATACAGTGCTAGGCACAAGAATACAGTTGAGAGACAAAGTTTATGCCTTAAAGTAGTGGAGTGTGCTTAGAGCTTTGAACGAGCACAGGCTACCTCCACCGGGAGGTTGAGAAGTATTTTGGAAGCAGAGGACACTTAGGCTGAGTTTCTAAGGATATCTGTAGGGAGCAGCCAAGTGGAGAAGAAGAAAGGAGGCTCCAGGGAAAGAGGCCATATGAAGGCTAGAAAAAATGACACCATGGGAGAAGTGAGAGCAGCTTGTAATGCCTGGACCCCAGGGCACACGTAGGGGAGGAAGTGGTGAGAAACTCAGCTGGAGGGGTAAGCAAGAGCTAAATTATAAAGGGCCATAGCCAGCAACTAAGGAATTTATCCCAAAGGCTTTGAGATCCTGTTTACACAGAAATTGACATAACCAGATTTTTATTTCAGAGAAATGATTCTCCCAGCTATGTAAAGAATGGATTGAAGGAGGAAAGACTAGAGGCTGGGAGACCGGATGTCTATACTTATGAGCAAGAATATTTTCTGCACCATTAAGGCCACCACATGAATTAAATGGATCAGCCACTTTGTATGTAGTGCTACCTTCAACCTCTTTTTTAATTCCCTTCTTCCATACATTCTTCCACCAGAAGTATCCTTATTAATCTTATGATATATCTTGATTGGAGGATTTCTCATGTAGCTGATTTTTTTTGTTATTGCTACACAAGTCAAATTTAAATTCCATCATCTAGCTTGCGTTCCATTTGGGGCTTGGTAAACTGCCATGTACCACTGGACCTCTCCATAAAAAATAATTTATGAACTTTTGAGAGAAGTTGGTGTTCCCAAAGCTAAAGCCAGACCCTTGAGACTGAGCTAGCCTTGGTCTGCGAAGACATAAGTAAGTAAAAGGACTGTTATTCCAAATTGGAAGAAAAATATTGCTCTTGCATTTATTGCATTTCCATATTTAAATTCAGAATGACTCATATCTTCTAGATCCGTCTAGTTGGCTCCTTTAATAGAGCTCCCTGGGGTATGTCTTTGGCCTGACGACTTTCTCAGGTCTTGAGCAACTATTTGATATGCCCATCTCACCCTCCTCATCATCCAGGAAGATTTAAAGAGAAAATGTGTAGCATTAGCAAGGTCTTAAATCTTATCCCAAGAACTTGATAATGACAATACCAAAAGGCCATCTTGGGTCTCATTCTCCTACATTAAACAAGCAGACTTGAGATTTATTATAACACAATAAACACCCTATAGGTCATAGACGTCTTGAGTCATATCATATGAAATAAGTATTTTTAGATAGCAGTCCTAAGGAAAGGTCAGCTGGCCTATATAAAGGGACCAGAATTATCCTTCCTTTTATGGTTTAGTTTATACTGGGAAGAATTTCTTTTTAATAATCTGGAATTTGCCTTTGCATCTTCTATTTTGGACCAAAATAAAAACCATGAAGGTACAAAGGCTGACTTTTAGGCCTCCTCCTATTGGTTTCTGCTGTAAGTCCATGTGCAAAGCTCTGAGAAGGCCAAGTTGCTCCCTGAGGTCCGTTTGGCAATGAATAGATCCCTCCTCAATGATGAACCACTGCAAGTGTGGCCGAAGTTCCATGACAGCAGGCTAATGATCAAAGGCTACTCATGCCTCAGAAGGGTACGTGTGGGAAAAGGCCCTAAACAGACTTAAAGAGGCTCCTGCCAGCACCTCCAAAAGCTACTGCCCTTGTGACCACAGAATGTTGGGCCACTTTGGAGCCTATGGGTCTGACGTTGTTTCCCAAGCCCTGACAGCATCTATGGAGGAGTCAGGTGGCCCACGTTGCCTGATAAAGTGACTCTTTGGAGTTCAGTTTCCACTCTGATGCCAGGTGGGACCCGCCAGAGTAAATATGACTATCTTTCCTTTTTAACTAAAACAGTGAACCACAACTTGGCAATTAAACATAGTCAACATAGGTTTAAGTAGAAGGAAATTTTAAGGCATCTTATTCCAGACTAGAATCAGATGCTCTTTCCTGCTATTCAAGTCTTGAGTGTTTGGTGAAGGATCCCATGACTTGAAGGCAGAGGAGGCTTGGGATGGGACCCCATCTAGTAAGGGTCATCTCTGAGCTGCCGGTTATCTGGTGGGAAGGCTATCTCCTTGCTAAAAGCCTGTGGTTAGATTAATGCGCGCATTTGAAAATCCGCTCTGGCCTGATGGTGGGCAGCCAGGGAAGGAGAGTGTTTTCTGTTTATCTCTTTAGTGGCAGAAATGTTCATCACAGGAAGACCGCGAGTTCCCAGTTTCAGGCCGGCCTGGAAGCTGTGCCACCCGTATCTGTGATTGTACACATCGCCTCCGGGATGATGAAAAAGAGCCGGGTCTGTGTTCACAGCCAGTTGTCTGCGTTGGTCAATGAGTTCGTTTCTTCGGCTTGATAACAGGGGTAGAGCTCCCCACATTGTTCAGAGAGGAAGCGTTACCACCCCCATTGCTCTATCTCCCAGGAATGCAGTGTGAGTTGCGTCTCCTCCTCGACAGCTTAGACCTCAGTAAATTATCAGGGTCTTGACCCACGAGATGGAGAAGTCTTAAGCGATTTTTCAGCCTCCTATCTAAAAATGTGTTTACATTTCTTGAACTCTGGCTGACTGATTCATTCTCCTGGTGTTGCAAGAACTTTCCTTATGCGTTAGAATTTATAAGTTTCATTTCTAAGAGACCCATGGTTCCTTTCAAGCCACAGTGAAATGAACCTCATCGCAACACGATTCTGCTGGGCTGGATTTGTCCGGGGGCCAAGCAGCTGGGATGTGGCAAGCTCAAGTGAGGCTAACAGGAGGCAGTGCGATGTGGAAGGGAAAGTACAAGATGCTAAATCAGGAGATCCGGTCTTGGGCTATTTCAAGGGATGGCCCTGAGCCAATCCCAGGAAACCACTCTCTGGGCCTCAGTTTCCCCAGCTGTTTTCAATTTTTAAACGTTTTAAATCTGTACAGAAGCCATTTTCAAACGAGACAGAAGAGGACAGCTGAGAAACAACAGAAAAGGAAAGGTCAGCCCACAAGGCATGCCTGGAGGCTTCAGGTCAAGGAGACAAAGAAGCAGAGTCACATGTGGCCACAGGCTCTTAAAAGAGCTACTTGCGAGCAGCAAGCATGGAAAGAACTTTCTGTTGGACACTCGTCCCACACAAGAGGCTAAACTCCTTTGACAGAGGAGCCATGCGCCTGGCTAAATTCGTTCCTCAAATAAACATTCCTTTATAAACACTGAATTTACTTTCTAAGAGGAAGAAAGAAAAACAAAATAAGCCCTATCCCTCTGCAGCTTGGGGTTTCAATCAGGCAGTCTTGGGCTCGAAGCCTCATTGGTGCCCAGTCAGTGGTTGCCCTATGAGCCAGGAGGTCCTGGTTCAATACTCCATCGGGACGCATGCCTGGGTTGCGGGCTCGATCCCCAATAGGGGGCATGCGGGAGGCAGCCGATCAATGAGTCTCATGATTGATGTTTCTATCTCTCTCTCCCTCTCCCTTCCTCTCTGAAATCAATAAAAATACATTTTTTAAAAACACCTCACTAGTTATACAACCTTGAGGCGGTGACTTTACCTTCGGAGCCTCAGTTTCCACACCTGTAGGGAGCAGAGATAGCACAACCTCGGAGGAGAGGCGTGAGGATGACACGCCAACTCCATGTCTGTGTCTGTGGGGCACCTGCTCCTTGGGGGGCCCCACTGTGGCATCACGCCCCCTCCTCTCCTGTTGCCTCTCCACACTGTGCGGGGAAAGGGAAAGGGGACAGCTCTGATCTCTCAATCTGGAAGGTTGCAGAAGCATTTTCCTGCTTCTGTGAAGTGCTATCATACAAAATTCATATTCGGCAGCATCAGCAGATTTTTCCCATCAATATTTCCTTTTTAATTTCAGCTTTATCTGAGTCTTAGTAGCAGAAAGAATTTAATTTTTTTTTCTTTTAAAGATCAACCAAGACAAGAAAATAGAAATTTGAATATGTCTTAACGCTATATGTAACTGGTGTTTAGACTGCCCATAGAGGTTATGGGTATTATTTGTTGAGTAAATATGAATGCCATCTGTGTAGGTATGTGTGTTTATAATCTTACACATATGAACTAGGTGTGCATGTATATGGTATGTATAAAAATTCATGAGACCTACATCTGACAACTTGGATTCTTTTCTAATTTCTACCACAGCAAACACTGAATTTGGAACCGATCTTCCCATGGATCTTAATAAAACCTCACCTTTGACTGAAAAGCCAGAGAAGCAGGTACAGTATTGATTTTATTTATTTATTTATTTATTTATTTATTTATGATACATTTTTGTTGTTTTCAGAGAGGCAGGGAGAGGAAAAGAGAGAAAGAAACATCAATGGTGAGAGAATCATTGATTGGCTGCCTCCTGCATGCTCCCGACTGGAGATCGAGCCCACAACCTGGGCATGTGCCCTTGACTGGAACTGAACCCGGGACCCTTCAGTCCGTAGGCCGATGCGCTAACCACGGAGCAACCGGCTAGGGCTACAGTATTGATTTTAAATGAGCAGGAGATGGGGAGTCAGAACGTTTGGGTTCTTGTCCTGGCTTGCTGTGTGACCCTAAATGAGATTCTTCCCCTCTCTGGGCCTCATCTGCCTCATCAATAAAATGAGACAAATGAACTATAAAATCCCAGAGGTTCCTTCACTCACAGACTGGGAATGTTTTGTCTGGCTCTTCGTGTTCATGAATAAGCTGAATGGGCTTTTCCCTCATTTCTGCAACATCAAAAAGGGAACAAAGAACAAAGAAAGGTACCATCCATTGAGGCTGGAAGCACTAAGACTTCGTGGCAATGGGCCTGTTTTTTCCACTCCAATTCTCATTCCTAATGTGTGTGTGGGGGCGGGGCGGGGGTTCGGGGACAGAGCTATCAAGAAAAATAACACAAGGATACCTTAAAGAAAGGAGAAAAAGGCTGCATCCGGGTGGGTTAGGAATATCAGTGATTCAAAGGCATATGTTCACAAATATTTGCAATTTTGTTCCTTCATTTGAAGCTTTGAGGCTGGAACTGTCTTCCAACTCTCTCTGGAGAGACAACTCAGGGGAATTCCTGCCGCTGCTCAGGGTTCCCAGACCCTGAAGCAGGAGCAGCCCAGCTCCCGCCTCTCAGGTCGGTCCCTGGTGTGACAGCCGAGGAGCAAGGGCGCTTGATCTCTCTTCTCTCTTATCTCCCACTTCCTGCCCCAGCCCGACTTCCACCTCTTCCCTCACACTCATTAAAAAACAATCTTAAATATACATTTTAATAGATTTTTTTAAAATCTGATAAAAGTCGTTTTTGTTTTCATCTGTGCGACTAGCAGGCTCTGTGGAAAGACCCGAACTTTCCCTGCCAGACACCCAGGCCTGGATCAGGCCTCCGCTGAGCATCCCTTCCCACCACTGAGGAACCACACAACCAACGTTTGCTTTTTTTTTTTTTACATTCCCACTTTGAAGACACACTTTATACAGGATCGAGAAGCTTTTCTAAGAGAGTCTGTAACTGTGGAAAAGATAATATGCTATATATTTCCTTAAAATCTATTTTTATTGACTTCAGAGCAGAAGGGAGAGGGAGAGATAGAAACATCAGTGATGAGAGAGAATCATTGATCAGCTGCCTCCTGCACGCCCCCTACTGCAGATCGAGCCCACAACCCAGGCACATGCCCTTGACCAGAATCAAACCTGGGACCCTTCAGTCCGCAGGCCGATGCTCCATCCATTGAGCCAAACTGGCTAAGGCCATATGCTCTGTTTTGGTAATTCCACAACTCCAAAGGCCCTGCAAATACCTCACACACCCTAAACACGCTCCACATTCACCCAGCCCCGTGGCTGTGTTTCAGGAGAATTGACATCACCTGCCATGAAAAAAGGGGCTCAGTCGTGTCAAATTAAGTCCTAGACTGAACTGTTAACCTCGCAGTCAGAGGAACACCAGGCCAAGGGTCTGACACTCTAACCCTGGGGTCGCCCGTGAGGCTGTGGCAAAACCAGCTGCTCTGAGAACTTCACGTGCCCCCTTCGTGAAAAGAGGGGGGTCGTCCCCCCCAGAGCCAATTGCCTTCTTTCCTCTAGCAGCAGCCCCCAAAAGGAGAACCACTTAAGGAAAAGTCTAGGGAGCCCCACCAGCCCTTAAACACAGAGAAAATGGAGGTGGAGTGGGGGTGGTACCCTCCTTGCCGACCCCCCCTTACTTCTTGAGGCTAATGGCCCTTTATTAGATTAATCACTGACTTCGATTTTAACTACTTCCTCAGCCTACTCCATGTAAATGACTAATTTCGAGTTACTATAAAGCATCTGGAAAGGATTTAGAAACAAATTTCTGCCCAGCAGATTTCAGTTACGTACCTTGATGGATTCCTCTCGCTGTCGCCTTCCACTCTGAAGCAGGCTAGGATATCACACAAAATTGATCTTTATCAGCATCAGCAGTTTCTGCTCTTCCTTCCTGTCCGCGAATTCCCCACTGACTCATCCTCTCCCTCCCTCACTGGGGTCTTCCCATATTAGGAGTTCAGTCACATAAAATGCTTTTACATTTTTATCCTGGCGCTGGCTGCAAGGGGATCAAAAACCCCAAAGGTGGGGTGCTTTGGCAGCCCCGCGCTTAAGGGAGAAGTTACAGACCCAGAATTGGGAGATAACTTCTGAGGGGTGGGTAAGAGAGCAAACCAGCGGGTGCTTGGCAGACGTGACTGGGTTCATGGATGCACCCGGTTCCGGAGGCTGCCTATGGATGCCCCCTACTGGCTGGATTTATTTTTTTATATATATATTTTTTATTGATTTCAGAGAGAAAGGGAGAGGGAGAAAGAGGTAGAAACATCAAGGATGAGAGATAATCATCGATCGGCTGCCTCCTGGACGCCCCCACACTGGGGATGAGCCCGCAACCCGGCATGTGCCCTGATCGGGAACCGAACCGTGACCTCCTGGTTCACTGGTCGATGCTCAACCACTGAGCCACCTGGCCAGGTGGTACTGCCTGGATTTAAACGCCTCTGCTGTGCGTTTCCTAAGCGGCGTCTGCGCTGGGAAGGGGGCAGGAAGATCTGGGGCTCCTGCCTCCAATACACAGGATGGCAAATCGTGGGCCTAGCTCCTGAGACACCCCTCCACCCCTGGCGACGGACCAGGGCCTCGGAGGTGCATCCATAAATAGAAATGAGAGGAGCAACTGACATCAACCACTTCCTAGG